AAAAATGTATTTTTCCTCCCCTGTGACCTTAGGAAAGGACCTGCCAATGTTCCTCTCAAATACAATGCCCTGGATACAACTTACAACACTGACAGGAAAAGTTACATAGGAGAATATGAAGTTGTACAAGGTGTTCCAAGGTAATGAAGCAGTGCCGTGCTTAGATAGTGGAGAGAGATTAAGTGGGCCAATGTTTTGCATAGCTTGCAATTCTTTAGCTTAACAGGATTACTCTACCAGTTTGAAAATTTATTTTATCCATCATGGTTAATTTAAGGGAGGACACTGCTGTATGATGCCTTGCAAGGGTTGTGATCTTTGTCAAGGTCTCTATTTCTCACAGTGCCTCTCACTATCTAAAAGTATCAGTGGCTATCAACAGAATGTAGGGGAAACTTAATAAAACTTTTGGTTAGTGGGAAGAAGGGGCGATTAACTATCCTTGCAGGACTAGCGCAGCACACTAGGATTAACTTATTTTGTTGAAGTTAGAATTTTGTGGCATTAAATCATAAGATGGGGTTAGAAGACAGGTACAACTTGGAGTATTGTGGCACACCATTTAGGAGGGTCTCCTATACTTATTATGTGGAGTGTGATTGGGTGATTTTTTTTCCTTGTGAATCATGATTTATTTTTTTTATTCTTGAATTTTAATTAAAGATAATAAGATCTTTTCATGTCCATGTGAACAATTTTTTATTTGAACATGACCCGTGAATTAAGAGCCAAATAAAATGTAATTTGTGAGCTATTTTGTTTTGAGTGATGAATTTGCTGCTATTTTCAATGTTGTTTTGAAAATGTTCATATTGTTCTCGAACTGCTGTGGTTAGGTTTTGACCAGGGTTTTGGCAGGAGATGGATTCCACATGAATTGATAAAAGTCATAAAACAGACCAGTAATGGTCCTTGAACAAATGAGATAAGACTTTATGTCATCTTTTGTCATTTAAGACTGGTCAAGATGAGGAAAAGTAAAATTTTAATTCAACCTGATTGTCTTTAATTTTGCATGAAGGTGAAAGAGTTTTGGATATTATTTGTGAAAAGGCCAAATGTTTTTACAAGGCTGAGTTTCACAGAGGGGTATAGAGGGACCTCATTTAGGAGGAGTGGCATTGCTTTCAGTCTCAATGTGCTTCAGAAAGTGCAATAAGCTCTGACAGTAACAGGCTTTCCTGCTGGAAAGACCTTGTGACAAATAACCAAAGGAGGTCTAAATTATATGGTAATGGAGTTGTAAGATGGAGAGAGTTTTACATTGATTTATTTGTATGCTTATGCTATTTCTTGCTCAATCATAGCTAATTGCAATCTGTTTGCCTCAAAGGAACCCTGTTGGTAGAACAGGGATGATTGGAAGAGGAGATCTTGGCAGATGGGGCCCCAACCATGCTGCAGATCCAGTTGTCACCAGGTATGTGTGGTGATTTATCTTTCTCTGATGCAAGGGTGATCTGAATGTTTGGTGGGACCATATAAAAGTTCAAGTCAATGCTAAAAACACGCCCACCTTCTTTGATTGCTGAATATCAAAAAGACTTTAAAGACAATGTACCAATTTAAATGCTGAAGTTAAAATCATACCTAGTTGCTTTCCACTGCTAAAAGAGTCCTTACAATCCTTCAACACTGTTTTCTCTGAGAAAACATTTTAGAGCAGAACTTTAAAGTATGCTTAACTATTTTACAATTCTCTTTCTGTTATGAGACATTCTCTATTTTTTTTTAACTCAAAGGTGGAAAAGAGACAGTTCGGGAGAAAAAGTTATGAAAGAAGGAAAACCAGTTCTAGAAATTGTTGCTATTCAGAGGAGAGATTGCAAAGAATGGGCTCTTCCTGGGGTAGGTGTCTAACTTGCAAGTATACCTAGTACAATTTTGTTCCAGATCAGTTATAGTCTGCTCAGAGACTGTGCCCCAGACCATGCCCAAAGGTCACTTTGTGAACAGAGGCATGGGTAATTGGTCACCAAAGAGAGGTGGCCATTGTGGGGAGGTATGGTTACTAGAACTCTGTACTTGCTGTTAAAAACCTTATGAAATCTTTTATGAAAAAATTTAGCTATTGTAGCATACAATTTCAAGGACAGTCACACTTTCATAACAGTTATAATTAAAGATAGAAAAGTTAATGCATGGAAAATCTGTCTTTTATGTAAGACAGTGGCAAACAGTAAGAGATGTTGCCCAACAATTATCTCCAATAATGTGCAAATGTATCTTTTCAGGGTATGGTAGATCCAGGTGATACTGTCACAAACACCCTTAAGAAGGAATTTGGTGAGGAAGCTTTAAACTCCTTGGAAGTTTCACCTGAAGAAAACAAAAGAATCCAGGAATCACTTGAGCATCTTTTTCATCATGGAACTCTGGTAATTGCAGACTATGAATGTCACAACACCCAGAATGAGTCTGAGAGGGCTTTCTCTCCCACACCATCCCCTGGTCCTGCTTTACTTTGCTCTGTGATTGGTACTGAAAAACTTGCATACCCTCCCATCCAATTGGGTATAAGTGACTTGGTCATGTGTCTTTCCCGGCATTTTCGTCCCCAGAGCCTCTCGTTTTCATTTTTTTTGTGACCAAACGTAGTGAGAAGTTTGGGAACGAAAATAGTGTTTTTTTTACCTTCTCATTGGCCCCGTCTGATATTTAAAATTGGTTTTTGGGTAGAGTGTGGTTATCGAGTTATGGATGCACGTGGGAAGTTTGGAGAGCGTGGGGAAAGTATAAGAGGAGGTCGAGGCGCAGCCAAGAGGAACTTAAGCTTCTTGAGTGCTCTGTAAAACTTCTCAGTTGCATCGATTAAACAAGATATATGCACAGCTAAAATTGCAAACCAATTATTTATATAATAGCGGAGACATTGGTTTCGTTTGGCTCATCTTATTCATCTTGCCTCTTTTAACTAATTGACCAAGAGAAATTCGCGTCTTTCAATTGGTTGAGAAAAATGTAGACAAACGAGATCAGAATAATCAAGTTTAAGGAGAAATCTTAGCTTGATAAAAGTCAAAGACCCCAAGAAGGGATTTGATTTCTCTATGATGTTGATGTAAAGATGCTCGATGCAGCTCCTAAGGACGAACCCTAGGAAACTTGCACTTTCTCCCAAGCGAGCATTACTCTTTTACTTAAACGGGCGTTAGCACCGGTAGAGGAAACCCAGGTATGCTAGTGACAATTTCTTTGCTAGTTTCTTTCCTCGACAGTCGGGGAGTGAGGTTCGCTACAGGAACTGACGGCTTAACTGGATGTGAATTTTGCAACAAAATATAACTGTTCACGTCATGCTACTTAGTCAAGGTCATGTGCGCCTAGAGATACACATCACCACTGCTTTACAGGTTTAAGGAGATTCAGATAGGACAAACGTGCGCCATGCGACAATTTTACTTGTTCCGATTGGCCCTCACGATTCCTTTGGTGTTGCTGTATTTTGAAGGTATTTCAAGGCTACATAGATGATCCCAGAAACACAGACAACGCCTGGATGGAAAGTCAAGCGGTTAATTTTCACGACGATAGTGGAAACGCCTTCAATAAGTTCACTCTGCAAGCTGGAGATGACGCCCAAAACGTCAAATGGGTCGAGGTGTCTCACGAACTACGCTTATATGCAAACCATCTCGACTTGGTAAAAGAAGTAGCTATGAAGCATAAAGCGTATTGGTAGCCAGCCAGCGGGAATAAATTCACACAGATTAGATTTTTAGATAAATTCAGTTTGTAATTCAAACTTGCTTTACATTTCCGTTGCATTTACGATCCGTGGCTCTGATTATTTAAACAACGTTTAGGCGTTGTTTGGCCGAACCGCGTCAAACAATCCTCAATTTTGCCAAACCTTTCATTTACTTTTATCTGAACACTTATTTTTGTGAACCGTCTCAAGAGGGCTAAAAGCTAATAGTGGAAGGGCAGTTATTTAATCTAAGCAACTGTCGTATAGAGAAAACCTGAGGCACACTGATTGTTAGTCTGTTCCAGGCGTCCAGTTAGTAAAATGGAGCGAAAGCGAAAGAGCGAGAGAGAGGTTTGGGTCGGGTCAGGTATTACGCGACCCGAACCAAACCTCTCTCTTTGTTTTTCTTCATTCGCTATCAGCGCGCCGTTTACTATCGCGCTTCGTGTACTTACTGAACGCCTGAATTGCGTAAAAGCACAGTTTGGGCTAGACCTCAGGTAAATAACCAGTCCATTGAGTCAGGTCAGAAACATACAGAAAAATATTAAATGTTTGCATGCTTTATGCTTCATATTGAGTGTAAAGGTTTGGTCACTACCTCTGTTTCTAAGTATTGTGCCAGTCAACGTGATCTTCCTGACGACCGTTCGTCAACTATATATCTCGTGCACGATTAGTCTAAATGTGTCATGTGGTGCAACCTGAATGAGAGAGTATTAAGGTGTTCCATTGCGTAAATGGAACACCTTAAATTGGTCTTTGTATCATATTTGTACCAAAAAAATAAATTAATGCACTGAAATAGGCAACGATTACAATTGTAAGGCCACTGACTATGTGCAAGTGCGAGACCAAACAGTTTCTCAAATTCTTTAGAAAGTTTTAAGATGAAAATTATGCACAAAAGTCTTTTTCAATTAAGTTCTCAAACTTTAAACAGTTCCTGAGTCTAAGTCAGTGGCCTCAAGTATAATTTTAACATTGCGCATGTGCACCGATTTGAATAAAAGTGGTTCATTTGTTTTATTAAGTGTTCTGGTTCGATGTCATTTTTGCGAGTTTTTTTCCATGTGAAGTCCGCACAATGCATTTTATTTCAAAAGTTTTTAAATATTTGATATAAATTATTGAGTGTTCTGAACACTGAATCAGAGGGTGTATTTCTTTATAGAAGCCTTGAGCAGGTTGCGAACATGGTGTTGCGTGGTATTCATGTGTTTGTTACATAATGTAATACTCAAAAATCGTTTCAGATATACATGACGTATTAAAGAGGGTAGCAATTTTTTAACGGCTCTTTTTCAAACAGGGTCTCAGTAGCATACCCCTCCCCATTCACAAAAGCTTTGCTTAGAATTCCCCCCTCTCCCCCTCCCCCGAATGAAAAGACATCGTTGTAGTATCTTGAAAAATTTTGCAATCTGTTTTAATCATCTCCATCTCTATATACGGACTTTTTTTCTTTGTGTCAACTTTCATTTTGATGTTTTCCTCTCTCGTCTCAGTAATATTCTTATATTCTTTGGTTTCCATTACGATGTAGAAGACTCAGAAAGTAAGTTGAGCGTATTTGTCTTGGGGGAATATACAAGACCGAAGGGGAATATGGGATCTTAATGAATAATTATCAGCAAAATTAACAATGCCTCGTCCATACAGCGAAGATCTCCGATGTCCATGTCCATCTCGCGCCGACAACCCCGAAAGCCTAAAATTAATTCTAATCTACCCATACCGCCTTTCGGTCTTGTCCCGTTCCCTTGAAGCTTTGATCCGACAACGTAAATTGAAATAGCTGTATTCCTGAACAAAGGCTATTGCAAGGGTATTCTTGGTACTGTGAATGCTTGCTTCGCGTCCGAAAATATAACAATTGTGTTGCAGTGTGTACTCGGACATTTTTACATTTTTACTTGCTTTCGAGACTAAGTTTTTTTTATAGTAATTTTTCTTTCTCTAAAAATTATGCACGAGACACCCCAGTCTTGTGCCGATTCTCAAGGCGACAGCCTGGGGTTCCTGTGCCGTAGGTTACCATTGCAACCTTTTCCGCAATGCCAATAATGTTCGGAGCATCATATATTTTGAAGAACTGAAAAAAACATTTAATTAATGATTTTCGCGACATGAGGTCATAATGTCTTTCAAAATATGATAAATAACTGAACAAAAGGTGTCAACATTTATATTTTCAAGCGCTATCTCTATTGACAAAGAAAACGCACTAGCTTTCATAAGGCGAAACATGCGATACCCACTCAATAATATCAGTTTGGGTTTTTTAATTCTTTCAATCAGTGTTTTCATGTCTACTTTTTATATTTTCTTTGTGGTTAGTCAACTCTGGACGGTTCATCAAAACATCATCCGTTCAAAGTAAGTAAATTTATTTTGTTTTTTTTTTTTAAGTTTTTCAAGGACACGATGACTTAACCGTGTTGAAATTTAAGATAAAAAGAGTTCTTTCCTGACAGTGAATTCGACAAGGATTTAACCCAGAACTATGGATAATAAAAAAACATGCAAAAGATAACTTCCAGGACATTCATGTACAGAAATCAACTTCGATCAGAGCAATTGCCTTTTCCACTATTATTCGGATTAACATTCTTTCAAAAAAAGGGCTAGTTACCGTGGAAACTGAACACCTTTATTCATGTCGAATTTACGATAAGAGGACGTGTTTCTTGATCAAAATTATTCAGTAGTAGCTTACTGCGAGTTTGTTGTTCAGGAAAATAGACTATTTTTCACGGTGATAGAAGATATCAAGTACTCTAGTAAACGTCGTTAGAAGAATGAAAAATGAATATTCTTTCCATTCATGTTCCCAACACACAAAAAGCCAGAATGACATGTATGGAAAACTCTTTCTTGATACCAATTTTGTCTTTTAACATTGTTGATACGATTGGTCCGTGATTTACCTCGATTCACTAAAAACGAGCAAAACCACTTCGATAGGGCTGAAAATATGACCATTGCATGGACTTGGGGAGATCGAAAGTAATTTTGGACTCCCCCCACCCTCTCAGAAATTTCAAGATCCACACATGGCAAAAAAACCGGAAGTAATTCAAACCTCATTATCGCTTGCGTCATTTTTTTCTCAACAGTCACGATAACAACACCGCTGACAAACTAGTGTTCAGTCCTATGCCGACCACTCCACCAGTGAGGTGCAGCCCACACAATAACATCCTTTTCTTAAAAACCCACAAGACAGGTTCGAGTACCATAGCAAATATTTTCTATCGTTACGGAGACTTAAAAAATCTTACGTTTGCTCTTCCGGGTGCTACATTACTAGGATGGCCCAATAGATTCCAAGTCTACTTTCCATTTCGTTTGCAAGACAAAACACCGGACATCCTGTGCAATCACGCTAGATTTAACAAAATACCCATGAACTGGCTTTTTCCCAAAGCAACCTGCAAGTACGTTACCATTCTTCGGAATCCCGTGGACAATTTTGAGTCAGCGTTCAGATACATGAACATGGGACGACGCATAGGTATAGGAGATGATCCTGAATCCTTGAAAAAGTTCCTGACACATGGAATTTCATTCACTAAAATGCGTCAAAAGGCGGAGCCTCTCATCAGAAATCCCCTCATGTTTGACTTGGGACTGAGTTTTAAGCATTACCAAAATAACACAGCTGTAAATGAGTATATTAGATTCCTGGAAAAAGAGTTTGACCTGGTAATGATCATGGAATACTTTGATGAATCTTTGGTGTTGATGAAACGACTGCTTTGCTGGGAAATTGAAGACATTTTGTATTTGAAACTCAATGAAAGACAAGACGAGGAAAAGGGGACAACACTGACAGCGGATGTGAGAGAGAATATCAAAAGATGGAACAAAGCCGATGTGCTGTTGTTTGAATATTTTAATCAGTCTCTTTGGTTTAAGATTGAAAGCGAAGGGGAGAACTTCTACGAGGAACTGGCCACTTTTCGTAAACGAAGACGTGAATTACAAAACGCGCGTGTAGAAAATGAAACGCGTTTAGAAACAGTATATAACGGAAAGAAAGTAAAAAGTTATTCTCTTAGAAAAGGACTGCCGAAAGAATTGAAGACTTTGTGCGAAAAACTAACAAGAGCTTCTAACACCTATCTAAGATACCTAAGAAAGAAACACGAGGAGAAACTAGCCAACGAACTCGACGAGGACGAGGAGAGCTGGAACCTATCAACAGATCTAGTTTATAATCCCGTTTAACTGACCGCATCTTCCAAGAAAGATCTTTTTAAAAAGTCCAAGGGTTGATAAGTGACGGAGTAAGAAAATCATTCCGGCTCTCGTTGTTTGAGTTGTCTCGTTTGGCTTTCCTTTTTTATCTTAAAGCTGATTCAAAGTTTGTGCTTGCCGGAAAATGCAGCTATCCGTTTTAATCTTTGCAAGAGAATATAAACTGTCTTTTGATCTTTGTCTGTTGTTTGTGAGATTGTTGCCTTCCTTAAAATTCACCCTTTCTGAGCTAATAACAAAAACATTCTTTGTGCAAAGGAAAGGTAACAAAAACGTTTCCTCGGAAACACGCGACCAAAAGTGGGGAGAAGCAGACTAATTGACGCTCTGCACGATGTATTTATGAGGGACAAATAAAAGATAAAAAAATATGTAAAGAAATTATTTCATTACAAGTCTTAAAATTCATTCATTCTTGTTTCATCTTCGAAAATGATTTCTTCTTTTGTGTATTTCTACCTTACCAAAGTCGCATTTTGTTGTCTCAGCTTCAAGATAATACCATTGTCGGGGTTTATGGAGGTGTCGCCTCATTACAAGTTGGCCACCAACCACTCTTGCGCCTTCGCCCCCTAAAGTAAAACAAGTTCATTCTATTTTGTTTGTCATTATTTCCATTTGTATTCCTTAGTAATACTGATATAATTAATCAATATTTTCTTCTTTCAACGCCGAAATCGAAACCGAATTATTTAAAATGAAATTGGCACGTTCCGGGGACAAGTGACATTTTTTCGACTGCGTGTAATAGTCGACGGATAACGACAAACGTAGAAAAAACCCATATTTGTCCCTCAAAACAGCCGAAATTCGAAGATAACCAGCAATAACTGCCGTGACTGAATGATACGCTGAAAAATTACTGCGTCAGACGTACACTCTCATGGTGACAAAGATGTCGCGATGAAACAAAACAAAAAGTCCATACTTGCAAAGCATAGTAGTTTTCTCGCTGGTCTCCAAGGAAACACCTACCGTAAGGAACAATGTTTTTGTATCAAATCAAAAAGCGCTAATTAAGTTGTGAGCACTTTTCATTTTGTGCAATGTTGTAGTCTGAATAGTGTGGATGACTATAATCTTTGATCTAAAGTTTTGCTCGCCCACGAATTAAGTATAGATGACTTTGAACTGTGCCCATGAAAAGGTATTCTGATGAATTCTAACGGTTCCTACGAGTTTATCTGAGGTCATTAAGTCCTGTCATCGGTACATAAAGGAATTGTACTGGCTCTATGTCAGAAAAGAATTAACTGGCAGTTTTTTACGAGTATTCAAGCTGGGAATAATGACGCGGAAACTCTTGGTTCGCGTGGCCTTTCTTCTTGTGTCCGCTGTCTTCATTTATTTAACGAGGAGATTGAACGTGAACTATACGGCTTTCTCCTCTGATGAAACAGTTAGAATTTCCTATGAAGACATGAGGTGAGTTTTACTTCCAGTCACTGATTCAAAATATCCCGGCTAAAAAAAAAAAGAAATTAGCTCCAGTTGTGAAGGCCAATTGGCTCCAGTGCAGCGGTCACCTTTGATACATTTTAATACTTGCAATGAAATAAATTCTTTACATATTTTTTTAAAATTTTATTTGTCCTTCATAAATACATCGTGCGGAGCGTAAATTAGTTTGTCTTCTCTCCATTTCCATTTGGTTTGCGTCTCCGAGGTAATATTTTGTTACCTTTCCTTTACACAAATAATTTTTCTGTTATTAGCGCAGGAAGGGTGAATTGTAAGGAAGGCAGCAATCGCACACAGAACAGATTTACAAAATTGCTTTAACCGTGATCCTTTGCTTAAATTGGTCAAGATTTTGATTTTCAGCGTAGAAATAGCAGTTTTTTATTTCTGGATCGAGTTTGTCATATACCGAACTTGGAACCGACCCAAATTGTAAAGTTTGAGCTGATGTTAAACAGTTAATTCTTTCTTGTAATTTCATTAACCACAGGGAAACTGTGAATACAATCGACAGCGTTTCTACCCATGTAGATCCTAGCCCTCTTTCCACACGAAGCTGTTCGCCACAGCATCACATCTTTTTTCTTAAGACGCACAAGACTGGCTCTAGTACGATGGCAAATATTTTTTTTCGTTATGGCGACTTCAGAAATCTCGCTTTCGTTCTCCCAAGGTATATACTGTTTGAATGGCCTCAAAGATTTCAAACTTCCCTCGCCGCTCCCCTTCAAACGAGAAGGCCGAACATTTTATGTAGCCACACAAGATTTAACAAGAAACCAATCAACTGGATTTTTCCAAAAGATTCCAGCAAGTACATAACCATTCTCAGAAATCCAGTGGATAATTTTGAATCGGCCTTCAGGTACATGAAACTTGGGGAGATGTTTGGCTTTGGAAACCATCCAAACTCTTTACAAAAGTTCCTTGAAAATGGGGTCTCATTTGCCAACATGCTTAAAAGGCATAATCCCCTCGTAAATCTTATAAGAAATCCTCTCATGTTTGATTTGGGTTTGAGTTTTAAGTATTACCAGAATTTTACCGCTATAAACAAGTATATTCAGATTCTAGACAAAGAGTTTGACTTGGTGATGATAGCGGACTATTTTGATGAATCATTGGTGCTGATGAAACGACTGCTCTGTTGGGAAATGCATGACATTTTGTATGTAAAGCTCAACGCTAGAGTAGATAATGAAACGGGAACAATACTGACCGAGGACGTTAGGGAAAATATCAAAAGATGGAACAAAGCGGACGTTTTGCTATTTGAGCATTTTAATAAATCATTCTGGGAGAAAGTAAAGAACGAAGGAGAAAGTTTTAACGAAGAGCTGGCCGCCTTTCGTCAAAAGAACACTGCTATGAAACAAGCTTGTATAGAAAATAAACCGCACTTTCAAACAATTTATGAGGGAAAGTTAGCGAAAGGTCACTCAATTAGAGAAAAACTGCCCCGAAAATTGCGAATGTTTTGTGAAAAGTTAATTAAAAGCGAAGAATACTACCTAAAGAACTTGAGAGAAAAGTCTCAGCATCAGAGAACGCCGTCTAGTTCGATAGATCTGCCTCAAAATTACAATGAACACGAGGAAGAAGACAAAAAGAGCTGGGATACAACAAAAGAACTTTCCTACTTTCCTGTTCTGACATTAAATCACGACACTCGTGAGACGTCACCGTGGCGGCGTGTAGGAAATCTGTGGATAAAACGGGGGCATAGAGCGGAAAGGATGAGAAAAAGGCGGTATAAAGCAAGACGACGGACGAAAAGGAGTTCTAGTTAACCCGTTCACTCTTATAAGTAATAAACGTGTAAAATCTCCCTACAATATCCATATATTATCCAGCAAAAGGGTAATGATAATACTCGGATTTCTTAAGAAGTTGTCCTCTTGATAATACGTAACACAAAACTCTCGTAACTAATTTACAAGGAAATGCGAAGCAACTGAGGGGAGATTTGACAATCAAATTTTGAAAGTTAACAGGTTAAAAATTAGATTATGAGCTGAAGATTTCTATAGCATGATTGTCGATGGGGGGAGAGCCCGGATCAACTACCACACATAGTAGTCGAAAGCTGATAAGCTAATTCTTGTAGTATAAATCAAGAAAGAGACAGGCTCGTTATTTCATGTTGTTTTCAACCGTACACTTTGGGACTAACCACTTTACTCGCTAACCCTGTCCGGATAATTCACCGGATAAATAGAGAGTAGAGTAGCCAATCAGATTTCAGCAATTGTGATAGATCATTAGTTGATAAACCGTAATTCCTTACATTAAGTGCCCCCTTCTCCAATAAGTCCCCCCCCCGAAATTGTTTTGTTAGTAAGTGCCCCTATTCTAATGAGCACCCCTACTGGTTAGGCACCCTCATCCCAATTGGCGCCCCTGTTCCAAGAAACGCCCCTATTCTTTTTCAGTAATAGCACTGTTAGAGTACATGTACATTGAGATTAACCGTGGTCCATCTTCACGAAATTGCCAACTTAAAGCCTCACGACAAAAAAAAGTGGTTTTCGTCTCAGTCTCTCAACTATGATGTCGCCATGAGTGCACAGTTACTTCAAACGAAAGATCCCGTCTTAGAATTTTGTGACGATTGCTTTGCTAGTCGTTCTAGCAAGGAAGCATCTAGGTCCATTTCCAATCTTTTTCATTCCAGTTTTTAAATACACATCAATGCTTTGTTTCCCATTCTGCTGTTTCTCAAAATAGAAGCAAGCGCCCTGTCCCTAGTAAGCACCCTGTTTCGAATAAGCGCCGCCCTCCCTTCAGGTACCAAAAGTAAATAATCGCCCTGGGCGCTAAATCGAATCATTACGGTATATTAAGAACAGAAAGATTTCCATTGTATTAAAGCTGATGTCGTTTAAATAATACCAGAAATGATGAGATCCTTAGTGGTGTCAAGTGAAAAGGGTTTTTTTTAAAAATGAAATGACCTGAGAGAGAAATTATTCATCTAGTGTTTCATACCTCTATTTAAAAAGAGTAGCATTATACAAGCTCTGAAGCTGCATAGTTACATTTGTTGTGGTTGCACTCAAAGGTTATTCATTAAAAGTTTCTTAACTTTCTTTGACCGTTTTCGCTGTCTGAATGAGTGCTTATATTTCGAGACTTGTGGACGTGCATATTCCAGGCGAATGTCTGGTCGTAAGTCTTGCTCTGGTATATGTGATATTTCTTACAGAATTATGAATTATTTTCGTGGTCAAGAGTACAGTTAAATCCCGATAACTTGAACCTTCAAGGGAAATTGATAAAGGTTCGAGTCATCGGGAGTTGAAAAAAAAGGACTGGAAATAAAGGAAAATGGTGTGTACTGCTTTTCCTATTCATGCAGTATACATTTTAATCAGATTTAATTATAGAGAAGACGATTGAGAGTGAATGAAACACTACTAATAAATTATTGCAGAAATCATGAGGTGACGAAAATGTTTTGGACTTCAGTACCCTGTTTGTCTTAACTTGTCACGTATTGACAGACGAACTGGTTCGACGTGGTTCGCGTTATCGAGGGTAGAAATTTGTAGAGAAAGACCTGAAGGGAAACGCGAATTGCTTCGATTTAGTGGAAGGTTCAAGTTATCGAGGGTTCGAGGCACCGAGGGTAAAACTGCCATAAATCTATGGCGCAAATCTACGGATTATCGATCGATTTTGGTTGGAGTTAGCACAAAGTACGAGTTAGTCAGGGTTCGAGTTATCAAGATTCGACTGTACTGATTCTGCTCAGTTTCGAAAATTTCCGTCGTTGTAATAAAACAAATTTCTCTAATAAATTATCTATGTTGATTTTATTGGCTTATATTGCAGATCTTTAGCTGTATTCCAGCCGCTTTCCGTTTGAACTTTTATAAATTTGTCCAGTCCAATGGTCCTCAATTTTATCATACGTTTTTGTCGGAGGTAATCCAAGAAAGCGTTTTCCTTCCTCACGAAATGTCCACACAAAACCTTCAAACGCGGCGTTAGGTCGTCTCTAACTAAATATCCCTTCACAAACTTTTCATGATACGCTCGTTCTTGTTGCATCTCATCCTTTAAACACAAACTCTTTATATTTTCTTTCTTTCGCCGAAATGCAGCCAGATCGTCATCAAAGCTTGGACCTTCCATTTTCACTTTTCTCCAAAAGGTTGCGTTGAAATGATCAAACAGCAAAACGTCTGCCATGTTCCATCGTTTGATGTTCTCTTGAACAGTTTTACTTAAATCTTTCGCTATCTCTTTATCTAGTCTTGCGTTGAGTTTTACATACAAAATGTCTTCTAGTTCCCAGCAGAGCAGTCGTTTCATCAGAACCAATGATTCATCAAAGTAGTCCATTATCATAACCAGGTCGAACTCTTTGTTCAAGAAGCGAATGTATTTTTTGACTGCGGTAAGATTCTGATAAAACTTAGGACTAAGACCCAGATCAAACATCATCGGATTTCTCGATAAATGGGTCATCAAACCTTTATGGGTACTGTTATAGTCTATTCCTTTTGTTAAAAATTTTTCTAGAGCGTCCAAATTGTCTCCGAAACCAAGTTGTTTCCCAAGCTGTGCAAAATTGAACACTGACTCAAAGTTGTCTACTGGATTCCGTAAAATTGTCACGTATTTGCTGGTTTCTCTCGGAAAAAGCCAGTTCATTGGTTTCTTGTTAAATCTAGCGTGGCTACATAAGATGTTGGGTACTTTGCTAAAAAGACGAAGCGGGTGAGTTATATGGAATTTATGTGGCCATCCTAGAAGAGTGCCCGGTGATAAGACAAAAGTAAGGTTTCTCGAGTCTCCGTAACGAAAAAAAATATTAGCCATCGTACTCGAACCAGTCTTGTGCGTTTTTAGGAAAAGAATGTGATGAACAGGGAAACATTTTCCTTCTTTCTCTTGAGCCAGTCCTGATGCATTTCCCTGCCTGTGAAATAGATAAATAGATACCGAGTATATGAATTGGTTTAATCACTTAGTTACCCTTAACCCTTTAAGTCCCACCAGTGACCAAGACGGAATATCTCCTTACACTATCAGTACAATATCAAGCAGACGAGTAATAAGAATAAAGAAAAATATCAATTAGGGGATTATTAGTTGATCCAATTCCAAATTCTCCAAACTAACATCACATGAATTGTATAGCAGACAGTAAGGAGAATTACTGACGAGATCCTGGGAGTTTAAGGGTTACGAACAGTTTTCAATTGAGAGTCGAGAGTGATCTGAGATTGCTCTGTTTTTGCTTTGCTTCGCTCTGTGATTATTCTGTAACTGATACTCGCACCACTCTCTCTCAACCAATCGGATTCAAAATAAACAAATCACGACTTAGTCTCCTACGCTTTCCAGGGCTTTAGGCAGTTTTGTCGGTTTTACTTCGAGCTTGGTCTTAATGGCTCCTAAATGTATTTTTCCTTTCTCCTAATTTGGCTGTTTTGATCACTTTGGTTTTAGTTTTTGCGACTCTCAATCGAAAAGAACTCTATCTCCTTGAAGCGATCAACTTCTCATTGCGTTTTCCTCCCAACAGTACATCAGAGAACAAACAAGGTAATCAGCTTGATCTAAGACCAAAATCTCCTTCAGGAGTCTGTAGCCAGAATTGCTAGTTCGAAGGTCAATAAGACCCCCTTAAGACCAGACAGAGTCTGTCTAATATGCAGTGTCCGGCAGTTTCGTGCTCTTAGTGAGAAGAATGAAGGGACATTTTTCATCTCGCCCTTACAGCTTTTTGTGGCCATCTTTACGAGAAAGACTATTGATAAGAATCCTTTGAAGGACAAGTATGCCTCAAAAATCATCACTTTAATTTCTCCCAATAAAAACGCACTGATGAGATTCCAAAGAGTGACGTGACCTGTCTCCAACGTTTTCAAAAAAATTGTTCAAATGCGCTAACGATTCACATCTGGAAATTACCATCTCGAATCTTGCCTCAAGAAGTGACTGACGTAACAAAGTCTCGTTTTTCTTTCTTCCACCTCTTGGAGAGAGAGAATCAACATTATCTACGGTATTTCTTGTGATGGTTCTTGTAAAATTATTCTTTGTTTTGATGTCAAAGGTTAAGATCGGAAAAGAAAAAATGTACTGAAACCTTGCAACTAAAAATTTATCCTTTCACAAATATTTAAGTTTTGAGCTTTATGTTATTATTCGATCAAGGTTCTAGGGAAGATCCCTCTTCACGATTCAACTGAGGGCGAGTTATTTAAGCGAGGTCTAACTTAAACCATGGTTTTACGCGATCAGTGGGCCTTAGGCTTTTTCTGTAAGAGGGTTGATTTGATGAAATAAATATCCTTTCACTCTTAACTTTCACCCTCTTGACACTGTTCACAATAAGTGTTTTGATAAACCGTTTAACTAAAATTGAGGATTGTTTGGCTAAACTTTGCTTAAATAACCGGCTCTGACAGTTTGTGGAAAATCGACTAGTGTCTCATTTTCGACGTTGAGTCTTTGCATAGTTTAATCATCATTGTTCTGTGATATTTCAAGGTCGGGGTCTTAGACGGTATTACGAAAATTGATCGCTGACTGATGAAACGTAAGGGAGATTTCAGAGTCGCTTTGGTAAACATCGCCATTGTACTGATCTTTAATATAGATTAGTGATATGTACTGCTACTTTACTTTTCCGTATCGCATCGAATCAGGCGAGGATTTGACGATACTGAACGAATTTTTTTCTACTTCCCGTAAACTGAGGCTTACATAATCTATTTAAAAAGGGAGGGAAATTTAACAGTGAAATCAATACGGATTCTTCAGCACCAATTTACTTAGTATATACAAATGCAATGATAAATACACTTACGTCAGACGCCGAATTACTTGTCGGACTGCGTTCACCTCCTGTTCATTTGACCGAGAGTATGTATACAATAAATAGATCACGGAAAGCAAGAGAAATATCCAAGGAAGGCGGTCGAGAAACCTGCGATGAAAGATTCTCATCCTAATTCAACATTCCTATAAGATAAACTACGGTGAGATCTCGCTGAAACTGCTGATCACAGCAGCTAAGGTCCTTATGGTCAAGCCGAGCTTTGCGACATATATCACGTTTCATACTCATGGCAGTAGTTTCCTTGGAGGCACGCAAATTTTCGTTTTTTTTTCAGGGGGAGGTGAGGGGAGATAGGGGCACCGCGTGACCTCCCGAGGAAGGGCTGTGAAGTATCAGCACTGGAGAAACGTGTTGAAAGCGAATTTATCCTTAAATTAATGGGGTAAGTTTCGAAAGGCTGACGCGCATGACGCTCGAAACATCAACTTCAGTAACTCTTTACGGTGGCCAATTTACGTTATCAACTCAGCTGATTAAACCAAATTAATAATCCTATCCTTGATTAGTTTCCTTTTAAGAGTATCTACAATGCACATTTCGTCCACTGCAAGTCACTTCTTACACAAGTCTTCCTGCTCTTAAGTTCGCCTGTCATAAGTTGATCGGGGCACTTGACAAGGAAAAGAATGTTATATTCTTTCTCTTTCACGAAAACGAAAACTCGTCAATCCGGAAAATAGGTTTATGCGTGTCCCGGAAACGTCTGTCCATTATTCGTCAGATTACTGTAACGTCATCTTTCACCATCAGGGACTTGCGCTAAGGAACTAACTTTCTTTATGATTATGTCATCATGGCTTGGTTGCAAAATGTGATATGGGCTTTTTTCCGGAAAGTTGTAAGTTGTAATTTCCTGAAGTTATTGGTAAAATTACATGATAATCACTTCTGTCCTCGGAAGTCACTTTCTCCAAACTTCGTGACCTTTAGAAGCCGCGCGCAGGATCGTTCTTGGCTAGTTCCCAGGCTCAGTTTACAAGTGAGTTCTTTCCTTGACCAGGAAACCTCTATACGCACGTTGTTGACTTACTCGTCTCCATAGCTCTAGTAAATTGTGCAGAATTTGTCCATTTACAGCCTAGACAGGCCAGTTCTAGAGGTGGAAATTACATAATGGCGAAGCGAAAGATGATTATTGACTGTGATGCCGGCATCGATGACGCCCAAGCTATCCTGATTGCTTTATCTGCTCCCGATGTTGAGGTGGTTGCGATCACATGTGTCGCTGGCAATGCAACTATTGAAAATGTATGTGTGAATGTGCTTAAAGTTCTGGAGTTGTGCGATCGAAGAGATATTCCCGTCTTTAAAGGAGCCACTGGTTCATTGCTAGGTGAGGAACTTTATGCAATTCATTGACTAGGGGTTGAGTTACGGTACGTGACACTACCCTTCCAATCGCTTGATCCCATAAGTAAGTAAGGCCTGGTTCATACGCCGTGCTTCAGCCGCACCGAATCGAATTCAACGATAGGCAGACCTAGATTAGTTAATCCTGGCTGGCTGAATTGATTCAAACGCCGAACTTTATTCGGCCGAAATTAATTAATCAAAGAAAATTAATATCTTACAGAGAGACAAGCCTTATCTGTGCTTTGTTCTATTGTATAGCACTTAGGAAGCGGCTAGGGCACGAAAGAAGTGTAGGGAGAAACACGAGAGGTAGTCGAGTGTTTCTCCCCTCTTCTTGAGCAGCAGTTATGCACCTCCACTGTTCTTGAATAGCCTCAAAAGGTAAAAGTTATTGAGAGGAATGCGTGGCAATCCAAATGTCACCAAAATAACTCCTTGTAGGTGAAATATCGTTGTAGGGATCCGTAGGGGTCACGTCTCAAATAATTCCTGAGACTTTGACCTAGTAATATTGAGCAGTTAGGTCGATCAGTTTGTGAACTATGGCTTCCAATGTGCCTCATGTGCCGGCAATGAAAGAAGCTCTAGGACCTCAAGAAGCAATTGTGAATTATGTTGCATTTTTTATGAAGAGGGGAAAGGCAGCAAGAATTGAATGCGGTTTTTAGTTCTAATCAGACCCCAATACCCCAGTCATATAGGAGAGAAATACTCTGAGTGAGAGTGAGAAAGCCTTTGGAATGGGAATTTCTCTCTTAAATAAATGTATACCAGTATGTGCTGCCCATCTGGGTCTTGAGCAAGAAGGAACTACCATGTTTTTTAACCCTTTAACTCCCAGATGAAATTTGTAATTCTCCTTACTGTCAACCATACAATTCTTATGATGTTAGTTCAGAGGATTTAGTACTGGATCAACCAATTATCCCCAAATTTATAATTTTCTTTATTCTCATCTTTTATCTGATTGATATTGTATTGACATTTTAAGTAGAAATTCTGTCTTGGTCACTCACGGGAGTTAAAGGGTTAAGTGATATTTTCCAGAACTTGTTGTAGTTCATGCATCTTGCAAATAGGTTAAGGATTATTTGTGACACGCCTTGATAGTGCACTGGCAATGACCTTCCCCTTACAAGAATATTTAAATTATAAAAGAATTTGTTAAAAAATGGTGGTAAAATAGAAGATGAGTTGATGGTTATTGGTGAATGGGGTACTGAAAATTGATCAATTTCTAGAATGAGTTTCTCTGACTTCAATTTCAGCCAAAAATATATTTGAGTATCCTCTCCCCAGCTCTTCTTGCTCTTTCCTGTAAGGGGGAGGGGGGGAGTTTAAATCCTGTTAAGGTCAGTGACACGATATTGCTGCTTATTGTTATATGGAAATCATGAAGCTTGGGAATTTTAACTTATGGATGATGACATGTTTCTTTTTTTTTTCTGTAGAGGATCGTGGGGATCTTCCTACCCATTTTCATGGCAAGGATGGCATGGGAGATGTTAGAGACATTCCTAACCCAGACATGTCATTACTAAAGACTGAACATGCTGTAAATGCCCTGATCAGAATTGTCAATGAGCATCCTGGAGAGATCACCTTGGTTCCTCTGGGACCATTAACTAATATTGCTCTCGCATGTCAACTTGATCCAGGCATTTCTTCCAAGCTAAAAGATGTGGTGATCATGGGAGGGAACTTTGAAGCCAAAGGAAACTCGCATGTGAGTGCTGAATTCAATTTTCATTTTGATGTAGAAGCTGCTTACATAGTGTTGAATAAGCTCACCTGTCCAATCTCCTTGGTGACATGGGAATTTTGCCTAAACCATGCATTACCTTGGGAATTTTATGACTCATATATTGGACAAGAGACAAAAAAATCTGTTTTCATGAAAAAGATTACTAATACTTCAGCCTCATTCTACAAGAAAAATAAGACAGGGTTTGGACAAGGTTACACAAGCTGTGATCCTCTGGCCATGTCAGTAGCTGTCAAGCCAGAGATTGTAACTGAGGCAACAAGTGTGTATGCCACAACGGAGCTACATGGACACTTGACTCGTGGTCAAATGGTTGTGGATTGGAGAGCTCATCTTGGAAAAGATCATAATATTAAGTTAATTCAAGAAGTTGATTTGGAAGCCTTTAAAGTCTTGATGATGGACTCCTTGAAATAATTACACATAAAAAAAGAGTAGTAAGAAACAAAGACATTTTTGTAATAAAATATTTGCCTATTGTTCATTGTGGTGTAAGAATGGAGATGAACTATGTTCATTTGTCTCACAATAGAGTCACTTTTGATGTAGATTGTGACATTTCGACTGCAACACTGCTAGTCTTCATCAGGTGATGAGATAGATTGTTTACATGTCACTATTTGTAGCATGTTGGTATGCTGCTATTGGTGCATTTCGATTCTCACTAGTATTCCAGTTATTAGATGGTGTTCCCTCATAGAACCTCATAACGTTCTCTATACTTATAATTTGCTCCAAAATTCTACTTTCAAAATTTACTATGAGGGAACACCTCCTAACAACTGTAATAATAATGAGGATCGAAATGCACCAATAACAGCATACAAATGTGCCACAAATAGCAATGCTTAAACAATTGACTTCATCGCCTGATGAAGGCTAGCAGTGTCGCAGCTGAAATGTTGTGATCTACATCAAAAGTGACTCTATCGTGAGACAAACGAACAAATTTCATCTCCAAAGACAATTTTTTTAGCTAGCCTAACCTGGATTAACCCTTAGATCCCTTCGAAGGGGCTATTATCTTATTTCTCCTTTTAGTGCAAATAATGAATTAACCCTTTAACTCCCAGATCACATTTGTAATTCTCCTTACTGTCAACCATACAATTCTTATGATGTTAGTTCAGAGAATTTAGTATTGGATAAACTGATTATCCCCAAATTGATATTTTTCTTTATTCTCATAACTTATCTGGTTGATATTGTATTGATATTGTAAGGAGAAATTCTCTCTTGGTCACATGGGAGCTAAAGGGTTAAGAAATAATTAAGCTCATGAGAGTAAAGGAAATGATCACCATCTAAGGCTCTTGATTTTTTCAACAAATTCTTCTACTCAGTACAGTAGGAAATGTATAAGAACAGTTTTGAGAATATGCACTTTAATGTTACTGGTTTAGCATTTACATTTAAGTATTCTTGCTAGAAGTTTTGAAAGTAGAATTTTGGAGTAAACTATAAGTATAGTGCCACTAAGTATCATGTGAGAGATACTCCAAGATTTTTTATTATACCAGTATGCTTTTGGTATGATTTAACCCTGTAACTCCCAAGATGTGATTGTCAATTCTCCCCTCTTGCTGCTACACATTTATTGTAAAATAGTTACCAGAATTTGGTGTTATAGATCAAGATAACAACTTCTACTTGGTAAGTTTGAATATTCTCATTACCTGTTTGTTGGATAATGTAAGGATATTATAGGGAGAAGTTTCATGTTGATCACTTCTGGGAGTAAAAGGGTTAATAGCAAAATGGTTCAAAACCTGCATTGCTTCATTTAAGCATAATTTGAAAACATAGTTGTATTGGATTTGCTCCTGTATAGCTATTTGACAAAATAGGAAGATTTCATTATTGTTTTCTTAGTAGCCTAGATAGCTTTATATTTTCACCCAGTAAAACAATTGAAGGTTCATTACAATTTTATTATTACCTTTCATTGCCTTAGACTATTTCAATATGCTCATTGAGTCTTGATTAAAATGATCTTGATTCAGTACTAATAAAGTCTTTGAACATAAAGAATTAAATTATCATGATATTTTTAATGCCTTAGACTACTTCAGTTGTGCTTTTTCTCAGTAGATCTTGGAAGCAGGACTTCCAGAAGTAGTTGACTTGTGTACTCGTATTTCTTCTCGCGTAAAAGACCCTTTTCTGTTTTTATGCAGTCATCATTTGTCACACTAGTTTTATCTTTATCCTGTTTCAAATGTTATGCTTCAGTTGTATACTTTTTCATGATTTTGTCTTCTTTTAATTGAATTGCCAGTAGATCTAATAAAAATTGAAAAATCGATTTCTAGATGATCTGTTAAAGCACAGCTGTTTCCTTATGTGCTAGGTAGTGTATATTTAGTAAATTTGTCAAAAAAATTGTTGTTGTTTAATGTTTATAAATAATTCAAAATTTGGATGACTGTATCTGTTGTCCGAAAATTTTATCATATGCACAAAAATTGGAACTAGACAGATTTTTTTAATGTAAAGTACATTCTCCCTTTGTACTTTTCGTTCTCTACCCAAAACATTCTGAACTCGCAGTAAATTGAGCATGTTCGTATCTGACACAATTGTAGGGAAGATGTTTCGATCAGCATATTTTTATGATTTGCTCTATGTTCTTAAAAAAAATATTATTTATAACTTATGATATTATTAAAAAAAGAGCAGTCTTGAAAAATTGAAAGTCATTTAAATTACTTGAAGGAGGGGTGGAAAAGAAATCAATCTGTTGTGGAAATACACGAAGAATAAAACTTTCGGTTTGTTCGTCACGCAAAAAGGACGTGTACCGATTAAGACCAGTACGTCATCAACTCAGATCATTGCGTTCATTGGTCAGCTATTTTTATCTCTCCAGTTGTTTTAAGTCTGTTCACTATATAAGGCTGTACGGCGAAAAGTTCTGACAGTTAGGGAGGATCCTACTTTCGCTGCTGTCTCTAGGACTGCGAGGAAGTCGCTGAAATATGCAGAATTTAAAACTTATGGCTATAGGAGATGGCGGAGTAGGAAAGTCGTCCTTTCTAATTTGCGCTACAACTAGTCATTTTCCAAGTGACTATGTTCCTACAGTTTTTGATAACTACAGCGTAGATCTCGTAGTAAACAGTTCTCCTTACTCGATTTCTCTTTGGGATACAGCAGGGCAAGAAGACTACGATCGTCTGAGGTTTCTCGCTTATCCTGGAACTGACGTATTTGTTGTGTGTTTTGATGTTGTAAATCGAAGTTCATTTGAAAACGTGAGCGAGAAATGGATTCACGAAGCGCGCTACTATGTACCCGAGACTCCAATCCTCCTGATGGCAACGAAGACGGATCTTCGAAACAGCAGGTGTGTTAAGCCTTTTCCTCAACAACGCACGATTTTAGTCTACCTTTCACAGGAACTCTTTATCAAAATAACACCTGGCGG